ATTCGAATATGTGACAATGCTGACTCATCGCATATATTTACATCTGAAACCACTGTAAGTGTTTGTTACTGTAACGATCATGTTCAGCCACATGGCAGCTGCGGAGAGCGGAAAGCGGAGTGCCACTATCATCTGAACATAGAGCGATGTCCTTTTTATAGCGTGACAACTGTTAGACGTAGACTCCAATCGGAGCCATGCATTCACTGCCCCCTACCTGTACAGTATGGCATTGTCCATCAGGATTTCAATACAGATGTGCTGCTCGAAGAGGCTGTATGCCAGGATGGGCATGGAAGTGAAGCAGATGTTGTACATCATCAGGTAAGCGGCATCGTAGAGGGGCTGGGGGCGTGGAAAGGGAGCCAGAATAAGAGGGGGGAAAAAGTGTAACTCCTTATCAGATGCAGGAATAAAGAAGACAATGGCAGGTGGAAATTCCTCCACAGGAGGTTTGCTGCCTTGGTCATACACCTCTGACTCACCTGCTGTGAATATCCGCAGAAGAACTGGTAGAGGAACTGGGGCAAGATGAAACAGAGGTTCTGCAATGTGAACATCATCAGTGAGATCACAGTGAGATCACAGTGAGATCACAGTGAGACAAACCCCCCAGGGTCTCTTCACGGCACTGACATGTACAGGGTCTCCGGGACGGACCCAGCCTCAGGCACTGGCCCAGCTGTACCTTGTAGAAGAAGTACTGCACCAGCTGGGCGATGCGGACGTAGTACAGGTGCCCGTGGCCCAGCAGCAGCTTCCTCAGGTGCTTCAGCTTGGGGACGGCGTAGTCACTGTTCCGGACGGCCTGCCGGCCCTCGTTGCCCTTTATACCTGGGGAAGAGAGCCGTGGTCACCGGGGGAGAGGACAGGGAGAGACTGAGGCAGAGGCCACCCAAACCAGCCTGCGGGGGGCGCCGTAGGGGGGGGGAGTTTAGGATGATTCCAAGGGGCCCTAAAAAATTTGAATTGGATTGGTTTGGGTTGGGGAGGGGGGGGGGCAATACGATATGCCTTTCATAGGGCCCATAATCTCTATCAGTGCTCAAGGAAGATGACAAAGGTCATATGACCACATGACCTAATGGTACAGCCGTGGCACAAGAATTTCACTGTGTTCATGCTTTTACTGTGTTCAACAGTAAAAACTTGAAAGCTGAAGGACACAGCTACCAGTGCTACCAGTGCTACCAGTGCTGTGTTCCAGGGGCCAGCTTACCAATGCCCACGTGTGCCTCCAGGATCATGCTGACATCATTGGCACCATCACCCACTGACAGGGTGATAGGGCTCCCTTTCGTGTTCTTCACCAGCCTCACTATCTGCAGAAGAGCACAGCAAGAGACCTTCAAAACCTCATGTCCATATATGACCCCGCCCCCCAATGCTGTGGCCACACCCCCACACTGGACACAGAGCCCACCCACATTGCACAGAGCCTCGCCCACAGCCCGCACACCTGAGCCTTCTGCAGAGGTGCCATGCGGCAGCACAGCACGGCCGCGCAGTTCTGGCAGATCTCGAGGAACAAGCTTGTGTAGCGGCTAGACGGGGGCTTCAGCAGCAGGGAGAGCGTGGCTCCGTCGATGATGAAGCCGTAGTCCTGGACGGCCGAGGACCAGCTCCTACCAGGCAGTACGCAGCACATCACCACGTGTCCCGACACAGCTAAAGCTACACTCTTTGGAGGACTTTAGTGGCGGTGGGCGTGTCCTGTAACTCAAGCCGCCCTTCCCCAGCCTCTGCCCACCTGCTGACTCCTCCCTTCGCAGGAGGTGCATCCTGCACTGCCCTCCTGTGGTAGTCCAGCAGGAGCTCGTGGAGCCGCCCTTCACATTTCTGGCCTCCGGCCTCCAGGGTGCGCACTGTCAACTCCAAGAGCTCCGTGCGCCTCTGGAAGAGCCGGCAGGCATAGCAGGTGGACTTGGCGGTCTCCATCTTGTCCCCCGTCAGCACCCACACCTTCATGCCCGCATTCTGCAGGGCCTCCATGGTCACAGTCGCCTCCTCCTGTAGCCTGAGGCCAAACAACAATGAGTGAACCAATCGGCAGCTTGGCCTGTGGGGGATCAGCCAGTCGCGTGATTACACACATTAAAGGTGGTGGACTGGAGGATCACCGTAGAATCAATCCAAAAGGGGGCTGTATCTACTGCTTTGATGAGCTTATAATAAAAGATGAGCTACAAATAAAAATCACTTGGACATGAAGAATCATGTCCGGGCGCGCTCAGTAGGCATGTTAGCGATCAGCCGTCACGTCCGGGCACGCTCAGTAGGCATGTTAGAGATCAGCCGTCACGTCCGGGCACGCTCAGCAAGACTGTCAGTAGGGTGCAGACCTGTCCTCCACAGCGGTGGCTCCGATTAGATTCATGCCCGTCTCCAACTGGTCGTAGATGTTCAGGAGCTTCTCCTCACGGTCCTGCAGTGCCAGCCGTGCCTCTCTGAGGCTGGCATCTGCCTGTGCAAACGCCTCTGTACTCAGCTTCTTGTAGGCTACACACAGAGTCCGGTACCCCTCCTGTATGGGGAGGGCATGGGGGTGAGATTGTGCAAACGGCAGGAGGCACACAGCCAAGCTCATTGGGGGAAGGGGGGGTGGGGGTTCAGTTCCGACCGTGGCGTTACGCTCCACGTGGGTCCGGATCCGCATGACCTCCTCCTCTCTGACACGTGGGAAAATGGACACGTCCGCCCCCTTACAGAACAAGAGCGTCTCCCCTGGAAGGAAATGGTAGGTCAGTGAGGGAAACTGTGATACCGCAGCGGTGTGATAACCCTCCTGGCCACAAAGGGGCCCCCGACTTACCCGCTTCGCTTTTCACAATGACGCTCATGCGGCGTCGAACTGGGTCAAAGTTCAATACGTGCAGTAAGTCGTACCTGTAACACAAGCGGAGAGCAGGATGTTGCCAGTAAGACCCCAGACAGCCAACAGACCTTTGATATAGAGGTCAAAGGGAGTCCCCAGCAACACCTACTCCTCTATCTCCTTATTCCTGTTCTGTATTTTCATTTTCATACAGTCCAAACCCAGGAAGCTGAATCCAAACCTAGGAGAAACCAAACCATAGCCATGAGCCCCACCATGACAGCGCAGGAGGAAGCTCACAGGGGCCCAGTCAGGCAGCTGTACCTCATGGCGCCCTTGACGAGGGCCACCTCATCCGGCGAGGAGGCGATGAAGCCCCGCTCTTCCACCGCTCTGGCTGCGTCCACCTGGTCCACAGGCCCCAAGCCCGGCCCCGGCTCCTTCACCTGCACCGTGTGGCACAAGCACAGGGCTCGCAGGAAGAGCTCCTCTCTCTCCTGGGGATGGGCAGGCAGACGCAGACGCAGACGGAGACAGACAGACAGACAGACAGAGACAGCTGTTCACTTGTGCTGCACCACATCCAATGTCAAGCATCACTATTCACGTCATTCTGCTTATTTGCCCCATTTTTCCATTAATCCAGGCCCCCCCCTGCATAGTAGCGGCACCCACAGTCCAGCAGGACGTACCCTCCCCGCCTTGCGCTGCAGCTTGTTCACGGGTCCATCCTCCACGCAGAAGCCGTCCAGCTCAGAGGCACAGTTGCCGTACTTGTACTGGAAGCCATCAATGCAGCACTCTATGAATTCCATGTTGTTCTGGGTGAGGGTCCCCGTCTTGTCAGTGAACACATGCTCCACCTGCAGGCCGATAATGGAATTTGCATAGGCCCTGCAGCATACCTTGGTACACAACACGCTAATAACACAGGCAATTAACAAAGCAACACACTAACCTCCCATTGCCAAACCCCAAATCTCATAAAAACAACATATCAGTGGGCTCCCTGACCTGGCCTAGTTCCTCGTTGAGATCCGACGTGTTGACCAGCGCCCCCTCCTGGATCTGTGGGTCATAGAAATCCCTGTCCCAGGTGATGAATGAAGAGCCCAGGAACTTCTGCATCTCCACAGTGACGTACATGGACACCGGGATAATGAAGTTGAAGAGCACCATGAAGGAGAGGAAGTCTGTGAACATCTTCAGGTACTGCAACATGGAGAAGGTGAAGAAGAGTTGGTTAGTGTCAGAGTGTGACACGCAGCCAGGGCAGCGAGGGAGGAGCAGCGGTGACCCAGTCCAATCAGGACCCGACCACAGACCTGCGCTCGTTTCCCATCGCTAACTCCAGTGATTCTTGTCATTGACCACAAGAAGCTAAAGCCTCACCAAATCAGTGTCCTTCTCCTTCTGAGTCTTCTGGTTGTACCAAGGCTCGTCCTGCCCTGGCTGTCTCTGCCACACATACTTGAGGGTGGTGCAGACCAGGGCTTTGCTCAGCAGGATGCACAGATACACCACGAGGAAGCAATTGATGGACCTGGATGGGAACACAGACACGTGGGTGGTGCGCATGGCGGTGCACGGCCCCCATTTGACAAGCAGCCGCACCCCCAGCAGTCATGTCGCCCTTACTTCTCCACCACAGAGCGCTTTTGGGACTTCCCCTGATAGTTCAGCGCCATCTTGGTCTCCATGCCAGTGTAAACAGCCACACCTGGATGGGGGGGGGGGGGGGAAAGAGTGAGAGCAGGCATGAGGGGGTTCACAGCAGTACAGGCCTCCAGCAGGGGGGGGGCCATCAGGGTCAGGGGAGGGGCCG